GARAGCAAGATTTATTAAAAAGATTAGTGTTTTTACCCGTGTCTTGTAGTTTAGCTTGTGATTGAAACGAATGCAGCTGAAGCTTTTTGACATGATATGAACTTTCCTGTTTTACTCACTTGTTTGTTTTTTAAGAAGTCTATGACATGTCTATCCTTCAAATRCAAMAAGTCAAAGAAAGCATCTTTATACTTAATAAAATTGRAATGATACRCATGATTTTACCTRTTTTGTCMCATAACTGGCCTATTTTCTTTTGAAYTWGGCTCAGCCAAAGYGAAACAGGAAGTGACATCAAAGGGGAACTCATTAMTAAAATGCTGGYCTTTGTTTATTAAAACAAAATTGTTTAAACTTTAACTCTTCTTCGTCTCTCTTTGATAGCSACTAAAAATAACCTAAAGAARCATCAGATTCTTCTCTAGTCTGTTGTAGCAACGCTCTGTTCACCTGCAGACATTCCCCTTTGACATCACTTCCTGTTTCTTCACATGCAAATATCTCAACAACYGTTCATCTCAGCRRCGTGAAATTTGTTTTGCAACATGTYCTCAATGTTATCTTTCCAAAAAYGCATTCAYGTTYATTACAAAGAAACRATGTCACGGGCACTTTAATCATGCAGCTGAAGTCGGCCTTCTGCTGATTGGTCGGGATGTTGTGGCCGTTTAAATAAAATTACATTACTCCCCATAATATTACGGTAACTAAGGCATGACACCAGAATATTTTCCTGCTCAATCTCATCTTTTCTGACAGTCTCTTCTGTCCTACAGTGTCACGGCAGTGCCATCTAGTGACGGTTCGCCCAACACTGGATTCAATGCTTTATTTCATGGTTTTTGTTGGTGAATAATTACTGTGTTTAAATCTCTTCTTTGTTGTAAACAAYGCTGTTAAGTGCTGCTCTTCAGCTTGTGTGTAAATGTAAAATGCTGTCAAATGCATTTTGTAAATTCAGTGAGAATAGGGAGAGCAAAAAACTGAATCAGACCTCAAATTGAGACCCTGAGAAGAGTTACATAACTGATATTTACTGAAGATTAATTTAATATTAAATTATAAAAGTTACACTACAACACTGTTTATTGACTCAGTCTTATAAGACATTTTCTCCAGTTTTTATCTGRTCTCTTTTTGTGTAATCACATTAGAGAGGTCATGTGTGTTTGCTGCCCTCTAGTGTTCAAATGGGAGAACTTCAACTTTCTCTGCAGACATGCATGTTGGAAAGAGTCCTGAAGTTTTGTCATTGTGCAAAAACCTTTTTTTTTTTTGCATCACATCAGTCAATATCTTTAAATGCAAAACTAGATTTTAAATGTAAAAAAAAAAAGACAGAAATACATTTTTCACTTTTATTTTTCCATAGCACAGTAATCTCTATCTACAGTTTTTAAACGTTTTTGTGGCAGCGGATAAATTCATAAACATCCAYGTGAAATTTGCATAAAACTGTACAAGAAAATTGGCTACAATGAGAAAAATACTGCAACCCACTGACAACTGTAGAATCCAGAACAGAAGATGGCGTGTGGCCAACAGACAGGACCCCCCTCACGCTGCTGTGGAGTGCGCTGGCTTGGGTGGGAATACGGCAAAACCACTCAGAGATGGAAACAAAACTAAATTAACGAAACAGGACAATTGGAGGGGAAATTAGAATCTGAGTGACAAACACAACAAAGTAAGGAAAAAGAAAAAAACTGGCTATTTTTTTTCCTGAAATGTTTTTTTTTCTTCCTCTTCAAAGACAAAACATCCTGAAAACATTCACACTGAACACAGAAAAGGCTGAATTTGTACCATYAACAGTGGAACCGAAGGACGTCCATTAGAGAACAGCGAAATCTGAGAAGTTCAACAGAATTTAAACCTCCTTTGATCGTCTTATTGGCAGCTTTATTTACAGTCATCTAGCAGACACTCARCTGGACACAAACTACCAGAAACAAATCAAATTATATCACCGAATGAAGATGGGAGACATACTTACTGTCAAACAGACGTCCCATAAACACTGTTGTAATGTGGTTCTGGGTTTAATGAAACAACCATATTAATCAACAGCACTGATCGCCTAAAACATTTAGGTTTAGCTGAAATGATGGCTATTCGTGACAACTTCCTGTTTCACAAACCCTGACAAAGACTGAAGGCAGTGTAGTTCCAAAATAAACCTGATCCTCTTTTCTGCCTTCATGTATGAGAGTGATAATGCAACAGAAAAAGCTAAAGCAACTCTTTGGCGTCAGAAAAAATATGGCCTGTCTCCTCTTTTTTTTTTTTTTTTGTTTCTTGTGCAACCTTAATGTTTACTTTCTAGTTGGTCGGAGATTGTCAAACTATTTACTTATATACAAATAAAGGTTTGACAGAGACACGGCACAGGTGAGCTTTACTGCAGATATCCTGACAGAAAACACAATAAAATAAATTAAAAAAAGATGATCAGCAGGGTGAAACCTTAAAGGGATAGTTCAGATCCTTTGAAGTGGGGTTCCGTGGAAAGGTTCTGAACGAATAATATCTTACCTGTTGCAGATAGCGCTTTGAGCAGTCTCAGTTTAGGGAAAAAAACTGCTGAACTCTGACCACAATGACAAACTAAACAAAATTTGTTCATCTAACCAMGTCTTACAACCTAATATCCAGATAAAACATATTTTTGATCTTGTTTTGAGACTAAACAAGAGCAGAAAATGTTCAATTATTAATGTTATATGGTTCATTTTAGATGAAGCCAGGAAGTGGATTACCACTTTTCTAAAACAAGTCCAATCTTATGAGATTTGTAGTTGGTGCGAATGTTCTATTACAATAATCTAATCATTTTCACTTAATACTACGATTTACCTCAATTCTAGGGATATCTGCAAGTGCAAATAGCATTAGCAGCTAGCTCTGGCACTTCCAGCAGGAATAGCATATTATTCCTGCTGAAATAAAGAAACAGATGGTTACGTAAAGGTTTATAAACTATTATTTAGATGAACTGTTATGAAATATGTGTGAYTCAAATTATTTTAAAGAGGGGTATTATGTATTTTCCAGGCACATAGTTCAATTCTGTACCACAATTAAGTAACCGTGTTACCTTCGGTTGTTATGAAAATGCTGAAYATATCAAAAATAAATTGGACTTTGTACCATAGTCTAACTAAACACCTTGAAATTGTCCTCTGTCCCCCCGACTGCAGCAATCCACAGGTCTTTGCTACATTTGAACCAGCCGCTAACTCGTCATGTCAGTCGGGATTAAACTACCATATTTATTCGTGTATAATACGATCTCATGTATAATACGATCTCATGTATAATACGACCCCCCTTTTTGAGCTTAAAAAGCATAAAAAAATTGAATCCTCAAATTACCTCCAATTTCATACAGACTTTAAGATTTTTCATCCTTTGCAGTCTTTATACAAATCAGTAAAATGATCATTGGACTGTTCATTTTATTTTRACAACATATGTACTAAAAGGTATTTTGACAACAAATATATATCAGCTGTAGCAGCATCATATGAATTCTGGTATTTTACACACAGTCCACCAGGAGGCGCCAACACAAAAGTCAGAGACTTCACGAGGTTTGGGCCATCTTGTGGGGGAAAAGCAGATTACTTCCTCCTCGCGAGCGCCCCCTCTGGTGGGGAAACATTTTTCAGGGATACAAACTTTTTCAGAACACCGGTAGACGGCAGCCATTACAGACGAACATGTTTGTCGTTGTTCGAGTAGCGGCCCGGTCATATGCTAATGTCATTAGTTTGTTATCATTACTGAGGTTCAGGATTGCTTTTTTCCCCCATTTTTTCACATCATGTCACCTGCCTGGATCTGTTATTATCTCGCTCTGAAGMACAGARGAGTGTCAGAGGTGAGCTCSCTTCAACTGCTTTTTACAACGCGGTCTCATTTCCAGACTCAATAATTTTGCCGRCATTCCAGTTAAAATACACAAGTAAAAATATTTATCCGAGTCTAATACTACCCACAACTTTATGGATGATTTTATGGATTAAATTTTACGCATTATAGTTGAATAAATATGGTAGTTTGTTTTTTTAAACTGGGGCTGTTCAAAGAGCTATACAGGATACGAATTGTTCAGAACTTTTCCACAGAACCCCACTTCAAAAGATCTGAACTTTTGCTTTAGTAATAATAGAATCCACACAAACTATTTTCTCACAGTCTCAGAAAAACAAACAAAAAAATGCCACAAAACATTATCTTTGAAATATTGCACTCTAGTTTCTCATATATAAATACTTGTAAGAGTTCTATGTGATTCAGCACAATACTAATACTTGGAATTTGGAAACTCCTGAATTCCCAACAAATGTGGCAACAATACTGTCATTAACACTGATCGTATCAAGTGTACAGCCACACCGAGACTCAGCCAAATGCTTCAGGTTTGTGACATCAGAAGGTTTCTTGCAGTTAGCTTCACATCAGAAGAGATCAAGTAATGAAATACTTCAGATCAGCGGTAAATTTTGTGCAGGTCAAATGTTCTTGCTTCTAGTAAAAGAAAACAAAAAGTTCCTTTCATATCGTTGCCTTCTTCATAGATTCCAGCCCTTTTCATAAGAAGAAAGCAATTTGTGATGTTAGGCAAATCACAGAAACATTTAAGAACCCAAAAGTCCATTTTCACAACTTTAGAAAAATAATTTTCCAATAATACAGAGCAAAAAAARRAAAAAAAATCCCAGCAAACGATGAACAGATGAATGACAGGAGGAACACAGTTTTTCTCTCTTCATAATCACTCTGTTGGGAACAAAACGAAAGCCTCAGATCCAGAAGAGAGTTTAGAGATGAGTGAGTAGATGAAACATCCAGCGTCCGTCAGGGTGAGCTGCTTTTCTCTGTGTGACTTCTGGTAAAGTGGAAGCTTCACCACGGCTGCATCCTTCGTCTTCACGCTCTTCATCCATCTCCGTGATAAACTATCCCTTTCAGTCATACAAAAGTCTACAAATAGATACAGCATTGCACATTTATTAGATCTATGTATATATAAGGATTCATTGAAATTMTTTTTGTCTTTTTCTATCATAACTCTGTCACTTGATTAGATATTCTCAGCCATATTCCATGACTTAAATATTGGCCACAGAGTGGCAACAGTGAAGGACGTTTTGGCGAATGAGAACGAGGAATCTCCGTGTGCTCGGGCCAATCTGYTACCTCGGAGGGGAGGCTGAACATAAAGAGACTCGAACATAAAAAAAGGACACCGTTTATTCCCTCTGAGGTTGTCCGTCTCCCCCCCYGTCTGACCCCTCAGTTCCACCGTCAGACTGAGGTAAAAACAGTATTCGACATTGTGCTGGGGAAGAAAATCCCGAGTGTTTGAGTGAAGAAGGCTTGGAGGGACATACGGATGGGTGGGAGTCACAACGAGTCTAAATGAGCCGATGGAAGGTCAGTCAGATAATGGTCCACCTGATCAGAACTGGTACCACTTTTTGTCTTTGCACTTCAGCATCATCTGCAAACAAAGAACACTGTCATAAACACAACACGCTCAGGTTCATTTTGTACGCAAGAAATAACCCATTTGCATAATCAGTCAAATGATTGAGAGCCATGTCTTACATCGTGGGCATGTTTGGAGAAAGAGTCTGCACTGGCCATCATGGCAGCTGTCCTCTCCTCCAGTTCGCCCAGCTTCTGGCCTCTTTCATCCAACGCTATCCGAGCACGTGCCAGATCCCCGACCACACCTGAAGCAGCTCCCTTCATCCCTTCAATGCCACCTGGGCCAGGGATGTGCTGGGCCAGGCTTCGAGAGGCCTTTCCAGCTGCTAACTCACCAACTGAGTGAGGGCAGAAAACACAACGTGACGYTGCGCCCGCCTGTAGGGCAGAAGTAATTTATATTTCATGCGACTCTGACATACATAGCTCCTCTCTGTCTAGTGACTGGGCTCCTCCTCCAAAAAGGCCTTTGAAGAAGCCTCTGTTGGGTGCCTCTGGYGTCTCCACTGGTGTGAAGAGTTCCCCCAGCATCTCCTGAAATGTTAACACACATTTCTGTATTACACCTCACTACTGTTTGTTATTGACTAATTATCTATCTGTGTCACATGTTCAATGTTAATCTGTTTGTCCAGACAACAGGACTCCGCAACGGACTGACCTCTCTTGTTTGATAAGACACTCTTTGAGCTGGGAGCACTGTGATAGGCTGGAGAGTACAATGGGCGATCTGTGATTGGATATAAGCACGTCATATGATGTTATCATGGTGTATATTACTGGCTGTGTCCGCTGACGTGTCAGCGACGGGCCGACAGAGCTTCCTGATTGAGTCCTGTTTGCCTGTTGCTCAGAATTAAATCATTTATGACGACCATACACGCAGACTTTTCTGGCATTATTCCAACGTGTTTCTGCTTTCATGCGATGACAGAAATTGGCGTTGTTGGCAGGATTGTCTGTTTTGTTGTGTGGAAGGGTCAGAGGTGGTGGTGGGGCTCTTTGACTTTTTGTAGATCTTGGTATAGTGCGAGAGGCTGGAAATGGAGGGTTACGTGGATTTGGACAGCTGAGTTTTATTGCAACAACACTGTTTGTGTTACCATGATAAATRTTTTACAATAAAAGTAATATTTAAACAAGAAAAAAAATTTAAATTAAAGGAAAGTGTAAAGATGTCAAGACAAAGGACATCATCCTTGGTCAGAGCACTGATTAAAGTATTGATAGTTGTATCAGTGAAGGGACATGTCATCAGATCTAACTTTCAACAAAAGATAAATAAAAAAAATATTTAATAAATACACATACAAATACTAGAAGGTTAAACTAGAACAGATGTTGAAAGAATTTGTAACTATTGCAACTATTAAGATGAAAAATAAAATCAGTAAAGTGAAATATATGTGTCACCAAAGTGTTTTCATTTTACCTCATCTTTGTCACCATTCCTCTTCTTATCCTACCTTACTTCACACGTCAGTCAATCTTCTCTTTAGCCTGTTTCTTTTCATTTTTATAAACCTTCTCAGTTTAGTTGCAGACCTCTTAACACTTTATCAGTTTAGTGGAAAGTGTTTCAAACTTTTAGCAATTTAGTGGCAAGGGTCTCAAATCTTTCTCAATTTAGTTGCAGACATTTAAACCTTTCCCAAATTAGTAATGGGCCTCTTAATCCCGTGTCAATTTAGTGGTATCTCAAACCCTTCTCAATGTAGATGCAGATGTCGCAAACCCTTTTAATTTAGTTGCAGTCATCTCAAACCCTTCTCAATTTAGTTTTGGACATCTCAAACCCTTCTCAATTTAGTCGCAGTTGTCTCAAACCCTTCTCAATTTAGTTTTGGACATCTCAAACCCTTCTCAATTTAGTCGCAGTTATCTCAAGCTCTTCTCAGTTTAGTTTCAAACATCTCAAACCCTTCTCAATTCAGTGCAGACGTCTCAAACCCTTCTCAATTCAGTTTGAACATCTCAAACCCTTCTCAGTTTTGTTTCAAACAACTCAAGCTCTTCTCAGTTTAGTTTCAAACATCTCAAACCCTTCTCAATTTTGTTTCAAACAACTCAAACTCTTCTCGTTTAGTTGCAGATGTCTCAAACCCTTCTCAATTTAGTTTTGGGCATCTCAAACCCTTCTTAATTTAGTATTGAACATCTCTAAACCTTCTCAATTTAGTCGCAGTTGTCTCAAACCCTTTTTAATTTAGTTTCGAACATCTCAAACCCTTCTTAATGTTGTTGTGGGCCTCTTAATCCTGTATCAGTTTAGAGGTAAATGTCTCAAACCTTTCTCAGTTTAGTTGCAGACATCTCAAGCCTATCTGAATTGTCTTGCAGGTGTCTGTATCTCGTTTTAATTGATCCTAATTTAGTTTCCATAAACACTTGAGCATTAGAGCTGTTTTTTGACTTGTTCACCTGATCTCTTTTTTTGACAGAAAGCACAAGSCTAAAGCCCTGAATGTTGAATGTTAAAGTCTGAAAGCCAAACTGATTGCAAATATTTAAAAAACAAAACAAAACAAAACAAAAAAGGGTCTTCCTCTTTCCTTCTCCTGGCAGCTCCATATTCAACATTCTTTGTCTGATCCACTAGTGGTAGTGGTATCAGTGATATCCACTAGTCCTCCTCTCTGCATGTCCAAATCATCTCAGTTTTGCCTCACTAACTTTTTCTCCAAATCACTCAACCGTAGCGATCTCTCCAATAAATTCATTCCTAATCCTGTTCACTTTCATCTCTCCCAATGAAAATCTGAACATCTTCATCTCTGTCTTTTGTTATCACCACAGTCTCCAAACTGCACATCATWGCAGGTCCCTTTCATTCCTGAAGCAATGTTTCTGTCACTAAACATCCACTTCTTTTCATGTGTTCAYRGAAGATGTGCTKAACATAGAAAAGCTCACCTGTAAGTTTTCACACGTCTCCTGGCTGTATGTGATCCTCTGAATCTCTGTGGGGGAGCAGAGGTACATGGCCTGACCCAGGTTAGTGAAGCAGAATGTCCTGGCTATTCGCATGTCCGTCAAAGGTAGGTAGTTTACATCCATGAGCGGTCTCAGTCCTGGCACACTGAACAGGAGACAAACAAATCACCTGAACTCAGACCTTTAACTTTAACTTTTGTTTGTGTCGTTTCAGTCATTGTGAGAATCGCAGAGCTGGGATTTCAGGTGTTAATCGTGATAAACAACTCTACCGGTGTTGTATGTAACGTGTTTTAATCTCCTGAAACTCAGAGAACAGCTTTCAGGCACTGATCTCACAGACTAAACATGTCAGCACATACACAGAAACACAAGCTGACAGGGAGACAGTTGGACATCTTTGCTTTGTCAGACACTCATATGGATGGCTGTTCTATCTCTGTCACTGCTGGGAAATAAAGATTGATGAGGACAAACAACACAMGGATACACTCCTCTTCAATTACACCCTGCTGCATCTGCATGTTTGTCTGTGAGCAGTGTTGCTAAACCTTATTCACCGATGAGCATGAAAACAAATCGGTAAATCACTTAAAACTGTACGACTGGGTTTCAGAAGATTTTCTTTAAGATATTAATAAGGTATGAAACTGTTTCTCTTACCTGAGGGTCATAATGTGGCCGTTGGCGCAAAAACAAGCCAAGCACACGCCTTGGTTCATCTGCACGACATCTGCCCGTAAAATGAAGGAGGTCTCTGTGATGCTGTGTTTATAGATGCACGTCTGGGAGGGGAGGGAAATGACTTTGGCCTGTTTCTCTGAGCAGACCACAGCAAACTGGCTCTCGTTGAAGTCCTGGGAGGTGGTGGGCGACACGGAGACGGGCCGGCGCTTACGGACCTTTTCTCTTTCTTCGCCGTCTGCTGTGATGTTGGGTTCGTACCAAGATTCAAATGCAGAAGGCAGCAGGGTGCCTGCAGAGTCCAAGAAAGCCATCCGCATGACACTCCCCTTCAGCCGCACCAGCATACCTGGTAAATGAAAGATAAAGTTCCATTAGTTGGTAAAACTATGTTTTATAGATATTGTATTTTCCAGACTGWSTYTTTTTTTTCCATCGTCCRGCTGGTCCTGCTGTTTTCCTCTTCATGATGCATTTTTTGACTGATCTGTACTGACTGAACCAAGGAGTTATCATTACTGTCTGCAAYCATGAAAGGGCGCTCTAGTACACATCTGGGGCTTCTGCTAAACTTGGTGGCATCTTGAGTTGGTAATTTAAAAATTTGAATCAGGTGTGTTGAAACAAAAAACGCTAAAACATGTAGGACTGTGGGCCACTGTCCTGCTGTACGTCCTGAACATCTGTCCTGATGCATCTTAATAATCTAGGTATAAAAAAATGTTGGTCCTCTGCACAAGTTCTTTTTTGAAAAAAAAAACAAACATATTTTTCATCTCTCCTCAGACTGAAGAAGTCTCTTAGAGGGGATGAAATGTCCGTCCGCCCGTTTTCTTCTGCTTATCCAGGATCGGGTCGCGGGGGCAGCAGCCTAAGCAGAGAGACCCAGAYGTCCCTCTCCCCAGCCATTTGGACCAGCTCATCCAGTGGAATCCCAAGGCATTCCCAGGCCAGCCGAGAAACATAGTCCCTCCAGCGTGTGCTGGGTCTTCCTCTGGGCCTCACCTCAAACACCTCACCAGGGAGGCGTCCTCGAGGCATTCTAACCTTGGCTGCACCCAGAAATTCTGTCCATAAAAGTTATGAACAGAATCAGTGACAAAGGGTGACAACCCTTGGTGGAGTCCAACTCTCACTGGAAACAAGTTCAACTTACTACCAGCAATGCAGACCAAGCTCTGGCACCGGTCATACAGGGGCCTAACAGCCCATATCAACGGGCCTGGTACCCCATACTTCTGGAGTACCCCCCACAGGAGTCCCCGAGGGACACGGTTGAACGCCTTCTCCAAGTCCACAAAACATATGTAGACTGGTTAGGCGAACTCTCATGCACCCTCCAGGACTGCTGAGGGTGTAGAGCTGGTCCAGTGTTCCACAACTAGGATGAAAACCACATTGCTCTTCTTGAATCTGAGATTCGACTRTCCGATGGACCCTCCTCTCCAGGAGCCCTGAATAGACCTTACTAGGGAGACTCAGAAGAGCGATCCCCCTATAGTTGGAAAACACTCTGTGGTCCTCCTTTTTAAAYAGGGGGACCACCACCTCGGTTTGTCAATCCAGGGGAACTGCCCCTRATGTCCACGCGATATTGTAGACTAGAGTCACATCAACYAAYGCAACCCCACAAYATCCAGAGCCTTAAGGAACTCCGGGTGAATCTCYTCCACCMCCTGTGCCTTGCCATTGAGRAGCTTTTTAACCACCTCAGTGACCTTGGCACCAGAGATWGGAGAGTCCGACCCAGAGTCCTCAGGCTCTGCTTCCTCATAGGAAGACATGTCGGTAGGATTSAGGAGGTCTTCAAAGTRTTCCACCCACTGACCCACAACGCCTCGAGTTGAGGTCAGCAGCACACCATCCCCACCATAAACAGTGTTGGTGGTGAACCGCTCCCCCCCACCTGAGATACCAGAAGGTGGACCAGAATCATCTCGAAGCCGGTAAAGTTGGTGAAGTGGATTTTATGGTTTCCACAAGTTTTTAGCCTACTTCATTATGGTTTTATATGGGTTATATACTGTCTAACGGAAAAAATTATTCAGGTGAAAGTGAAAAAATAACATCTCTAAAACAACAGCTGCTGTTTTAAAACATACACTTCTGATGAAATCCCAAGTGTTCACTTTATTTTGACACCAAGATTATTTAAGTAGATTTTGTAAATGCTGAGATACACTCACACTCAATTATATTTCGGCATGGTATTTTGAGAAAAAAAACTTGAAGAAAAACCCCACCTGTAGGTGAAATGATAACTGGCTGCAGTTGCCGCAGCTCACCAGCAGGTGGCAACGTGAGCGCCAGGACCAGCACAGTTCCCAGGGAAGTGCCCACATAAAGGCAGGGCGTCAGGGTGCTGTCCCCTTTCCGGGCAAAGCTCTCACAGAAGTGGAAGGAGYTGACGGCTTCTCGTGCCTCTTTATCGATGCTGGTGACGCTGGAGGAGCGCGAGCGGCTGAAGGAGTTGTCCCGGTGGTCTAATGGGTTGGCACCCCGCGGTGGGCACACGGACAGGAGGACAGTAAGAGGAAAACACAGAAAGGTAAAGCACCTGCAAAAACACTGTACTGTACAAATAAAAACTGATTAACAAGCATCTGGGTGATATTTTTTGTTGTTTTTCTTTCAAATAAATCATGATTTATTATTTTTTTACTGTAAAGAGATAAATGAGGTTTAGGTATTCTGGAAATCATTATTTTCCTTTTAAACTTTCAGCAAAGCGGCATCATCAAAACCCTTTTTTCCCTATGCAGGTCACCTAAAACGACCCAACAACAAATGGTGTTTTGAAGGCACTTAAAAGAAAAAGCATATACAACTAAATGTCATGAAATCAGCTGAAAATTTCATCCAACATTTCAGTTACATTATGCGTCCTAAAGAAAACAATCTCTTCATATTCAAAGATTCTACTTGACAGAGAGAAAGAAAAGAGAAAAACGTAAAGAACACAGATTAGAAACAGAAAGCTGCAAAAGTTACAGAAAGCTTTAGAGTGAAAAAGGGTGTGCAAAGATTAGCTTAGCACCACTGACCTTTTTAATTAACAAAACGCCCACTATGGTTGGAAATATTTACAAGTAAATAAAATCAAAAAGTGGGAGTATCATTCTAACAATTTGATTTCGCTCAATAAACTTCAATTCAGATCAGATCAGTGCTACCGTTGATTCATGCAAACTCAGGAGAACATCTGCACAGCTTGCCAATTTTGAGACTAATAACCAGATAAAACTGGACCCTGTGGGATGTGGTGGAAGTCCAGTCGGAGTGAAAAGGGGGGGAAAAAAAAGGGAAAACTGCATTTTTATATAAACTGTTTGGAGACACGAAGTCAAGGCTTACCCAAGTCTGGCTTTAGCTCAGTAGGCAAGCTTAATTTCCGTGACATCTTTGCTGGAAAAAAGAGAACATCCCTCTTTACAAACACGTCTAAGCTAACACACGGTGCCATGCAAAGCCGAGGAGCCAGCACTGAGCAAGGACTGTGCACAAGGACTAAAACTCATCCAAATAATAAAAAGAAAAAATTAAAGTGGGGGACAAAAAAAAGAAAAATCCAAGGGAATAGATTTATATATATATATATTTTAAACCAGAGCCAAAAAGCATTAAATAAAAACAAAGAGGCAACCCTGTACGTGTCAAAGGGGCATGCTGTGACAGACGAAACACAAGAGGTAACTTTTGGTTGCAAAGTGGCGCAAAAGAGAGGACGAATCAAAAACTGCACGGCCATTCAGGTCCTTCAAGCCAAAAGAGCATGCAGCAAGAACAAGGGAGTCCGAAGTAACACCAGAGATGGAAGAAGACAGTGACAATGAGAAAAGATGGTTAAAGTTGACCCGAACAGAACTTGTCATGGCATCTTTTTTTGTTGCAAGTATGAAAACAAATGACAATACAAAAGAAAAATGAGGAAAAAAAATGCCCAGAGACATTTTCTCTGTCTACAGAAAGAAAAGACAATTCTAAAAACAACAGACTTCTCATTAACTTAATAATATATTAAGTCATCAAACAACAGTTGGGAGTTTTGCTTTCTTTATTACATTAGTGACTTAATTCGAGGAGAAGCTGATTGTAATAAAAAACAACATTGTAGCATTGTAAAAAGAAAAAACACATGTTTTTTTAAATATTTGATTTAATAATCTAACTGATGTGTTAGTTGTAATGGTTGCACTCATATATTGTTCAGTTTTTAAAGACCCGCCCCTTTCTTTTACTGAAAACTAACGTCTGCAGAGGATTAGTCATACGTAGCAGATCAACATCCTGACTACTCAGTCATGGAAACTGCCAAATATCTTAAAGCTTGCATGTTTGAATAATGCAACAATTACAAGGCTACATTTCATGAAACTGAAAAGACGGCGCTCAAATTACTTTTATTCCCTTTGATTGAACTTTCCACATAGTTTCAATCGTACAGACTACAGAATAAATTCTCAATAAACACATGAACAAGTGGATTAGTTTGTTGATTTTTGTCAGGTTTTCACTTCGAAGATGTTTTAGTCTGTATTAATGTAGTAATGTTAAGATATGCAAAGCTATACTAGTTATGGTGAGAAGAAAATGAATATTTCTGAAACTTTAAAGTGACTTTGAAGATTTATTTTCTACCGTAGTCAGAGTATTTTTTAAATACAATTCTAATTGATAAGAACTGAGTGACATTAAAGCATTAATCCGTCAGGTTTCTGTGTGTTTTCAGGTCTGAGCCAAAGGGAGAAAAAAATAGTAGCCAAATTTTCTAAGGTAATAACTGTTACAAGTACAAATGATTTGTTCCTAATTACAGACTTGTCAAAACTTGATCCCAGCATTTTATAATTAATTTTTATGCTTCRTTGACACAGAAGAGGAGGTACACACAAAAAAAAGAACATAGCTGGACAAATGAGTTGCTCTGTGGTCTCATAAAATATTATAGACGACCAGGACACATCAAACGCAAACACATTTACAATCTGACAACTGAGCTACGTACRAGTAGCATGCAACCTCTGTAGCAAACAGCTTAAGTTCCTAAAATCAGCTGCAATCCCACTTTCCTTGCAGGTTTTCCTCTGCTCCAGAAACTTTCAGTCTTCATACATTTGTATTTTAGGCTTGTTTTGTGTTCAAACAACAAATAAAACTTCATTTTCTAAATGTATAAAAAATAAAATCATTTAATTCTCATTAAAGCTCATATGGAACCAAAAGATAGTGGAACAGAGGCTAACCTTGAGATATAAAAAATGTTATTCTCTGTGCTCTAATCTGTTTTTTCCCACTGTGGCTGTTGTAACGACAGACACAAAAGGACAGGGACAGTTTCTTCACCACAAAGGGGGGAAAACAAACTAACAAACAACCAAAAATAAAAGGGGGAGGGGTACCAAATGTGTGGACCACATCGGTCTCGCCGACAGAGCTGTTCATGAAGGTTTGGGGCCAATCTTACCTCCTCTACCACCTCCATTGTAGAACTGTTGAAGGTTGCTGTGTGTCATCAACACTTTAAGGGGTGTTGGGGGGAGGGGGGAGTAAAGTACAGTAAATGTACAGTTAGAAACACCCTTTGTCTTGTTACAGTACACACTGTGGCATTGTTTTTATGAGCAGAAAGATAGTCTTTCAAGTGAAGCTGGCCCAGGACTCTGGTTTGACTCAAGACTTTTCTAAGGAAATGAAAACAAGGCAGAAATTGGGTATTACGTCTAAAGCTTAATAATCTGTGACCTGAGGTTTTTCTTTWYGTTTGATGYAAATTCTGGGGTTATGAAAGTATACAGTATTAATCTAGTCTACATGTGTTATGTTGACTTAGAGACCATGTTCCTTGAGGTTCACTGTGTTGGGGGTTCTGTGAAAATGGGAATGTAGGTCCATTGCTAAATCCGGCCTCTATACAAGCAGTGCAAGAGTTTGGTTCACATTAGTCGACTCCTTTAGGGTGAGAGTTGGACTCCGCCAGAGGTTGTCCCCAATTCTATTCCAAGCTTTTAATTGACAGATTTTCTCAGTAGCAGGGGGCGAGGGAGTTCAGTTCGGTGGAAAACGGGTGGATCGCTCTCTCTGGGCTGGGGATGAGGTTCTTCCTCAAGTGGAGGAGTTTGAGTCTCTTGAGGRTTTTTTCAGGAGTGAGGGAAGAATGGAGCCTGAGATTGACAGACAAATCTGTGCAGCTACTGCTGTATTGAGAACTCTGTACCAGTTTGTTGAGGAGCTCTGTCTACTGGTCAATCAACATTCTTACTCTCACCTATGGCCTTTAACTTTGGGTAGTGATCAAAAGAATGGAATTTCRTATACAGGTGGTCAAAAGGAGTKTTCTCTGTGGGGTAGCTGGACTCTCCCTTAGAAATAGGGTGAGAAGTGAAGKTATCCTGGAGAGACTCAGAGCAGAGCCGCTGCTCCTCCGCATCGAGAGGAGCCAGTTGAGGTGGTTCTGGTCTCTGGTAAGGATGCCTCCTGGTCGCCTCCCTAGGGAGGTGCTTCAGATATGTCCGACTGGGACATGCTGCAGAGACTATGTCCCTCATTTGACTTGGGATTACTTYGGRAYCATTTTACCACTCAACAACACTTAACAATATGGAGCTYCTAAAACAGTTTTTCCTCGCTGCACTGGACTACATGTCCCACATGGTTCAGTTTGTGTTTAGGTACATTGTCATCAGGGTGGACCAGTCCCCATCCATCTCTGTGCAACAGGGGTCTCCAGCTYGTGAGCTCATTGAAAGTAGCTCTTCAGTGCTAATAAAAAATTAGGAGAAGCAAAATTTTCTTTGTCACTGGCCGAACAAAGTTTCATTTAATTCCAATCAATTAACACATTCTCATGTTGGACACGTCAAAAATGGACGCAGACGGTCCCTGCCCAAGCGTCAATATGTTGACGAGTCCAACGGTACCCGCCCAAGCGTCAACATATTGACGCTTGGGCAGGGACCATCTGCATCCAGTTTTGATGTGTCTGGTATCTCTCGCATGTCCATCCTTGCCACCTGCAGCTTTTCTGGGTTGCACCACTTAGGGGATCTTTGGGTCGGGGGTCTGAGGTTAACATGAGGGATCAGGATTAATGGTTAATTTGAGATACTGGGGTCAGGGATAGGCTGTACTGTATATATCTAAAATAGGTTAAATTTAGGCTCTGGAACGGTTAGTTCTCATGAATTCTCTACATTTTAAAAAACTGTTAATATGAGGGATCAGGGTTAATGGTTAATTTTAGGGTCTGTGGTCAGGGATAGGCTGTATAAGGCTAAWAGAAGTTAAATTTAGGGTCTGGGATGGTTAGTTCCGCCCATTTCCTACTCTTTTTAAAAAATATGACAACGCGCTCGACCTCCTCCACCTCATCTCGTAAAGAACGGACGGGGGCTACCCGGCGTGTCCGAAAGTTGACGCAGACGGCTACCTGACCAAGCATCAATATGTTGAAGCGGGGGKCATGAGAACGCGTTGAATCAATCTATAGATGTTCGTTCCCCTTGGTTGTCAATCAAACAGTTTAGGGCTCAGTATGGTTGTTCGGCCTTTCGTTTTCGCACGCACCTTTCATAGCCCCTTGAGACACACTSTGCAGAGCTCCTGGGAAACCCTTCCCACTGCGGTATATGACAGTGCACGGGGTTTCTTCTGCTGGAGTCTACATGTGTTTTTGTGCAAARCAAGCTTATTTCAATGGTTTAAGTTTAAGTTTAAAATTAAATGTTGCAAAATGTAGCTCTTGGACGATTTCATTTTTTGAAGCTCTTCAGGAAAAAAAGGTTGGAGACCCCTGCTGTACACGGACGTTGTGTTTGGAGAAAACCCTTTTCAGATTCTCAAATACTGCAGCAAAACCCTCCTGCAAACTGGAACACATTAAAATGCATTGCTGTTCTTTCAGCWCACTTCACCACAACAAGAGAGAAAGAAACATTTTGTCCTGGACTAAATGACTAGTTAAGACAGATGTTTTTTTTTCCTGAAAAGCACCTTATCTCTGTCTACCTCATAAAATATGCAAAGCAGACACCGTCTGATGGCACCAGACGTGGGGGTCGGGGCTGACATCACACCTGGAAACAGCAGCGAGCAGATTTTGAGATCTGATTTCTATCTGACCTTTTAAAAAGATTGTTTTTTTTTTAAGACACTAAGGCCAAGCCACCCATAATCAGATGAATCTGGGTCGTAGCATCTCATTTGTGCAAAACAGACAAAAAAAAAAATCCTTGAGCCTTATGCTCCTTGTTTGTTTTCATCTGGGAATTTACATGAGAACTGTTTAATATGATAATGCATTTGGAAAAAGGCTTGAAACAAATGCACTCTGACAGACAACTGAAAAAGTTACAAAATCCAAATCAAGAGGTTTTTACAAAAAATCTTGGACAGAAATCAAATATATTAGGCTGTAAAATATTGTTCCCAATTATTCAAATATCCTCATCTTTTTATTAAATAATGCAAATGAATCTCCCTCTCCCAGGTTTATGACTGCATTTATTTATGTCTCTTCTCTGTCATATGGAATTAACGGTACAGATATTGGAAATGTTTACAGTCTGTAATTGGATTTTCCAGGATACTGAGTGAGATTAAAGAAAATTTATTACTGTCTGTTGAACTCTGAAAARTATTAAAAGGGACGTGCACGGAAATGGGAAAATGCGCTCAAAAAGCCGTGGCATTAAACTCAAACGGCGCATTTCTAAAAGGCTGAGGCGAATGAAATTGACAGTCGGGTAATTTTACGGTTCGGTAAAAGAAAGTCTTGCATCTAGTTCTGCTTTAATGAGCAACAATTTCAGTAAAAGAGTCTAAAAAGAAAGTATCTCCTCTTTTTGACACAGTAATCTTCAATTTTAACACTCTTTTTGCATTATTGTGTTTGATTTTAAATATTGATAAATTATTATTTTTAACTCAGTGAGTATAATCTTGCGGTAGAACAAAGAAGAACATGTTACCTGAAGTGGGGGACTTGCAACGTTCTTCTGATGTGGCCGAGCCCTCGTTGATGTCACACAGCCCTGTGGAGGATTTCACAATATGAAGCTAAACAGAGCTGCCGACTCAGCATTTTGTGTAACTCTCGCCTGCTTTAAGGCAAATGGGTGATCATGTTTTGGCTTGTGAACGTATATAGGTATTTCTGTTTGCTAAAAAAAATCACTAGATGGATTTTAAAGGGGACATATCATGCAAAATCCATTTTTTTGGCTGCTAAATACCTTTTGTCTCWAGGAGTGCAGAAAAGTTGAATTTAGTCTCTCCATGGTATCTTTATATTCTGTTTGGGTTAAAATTTTCAGCCTGTTCAGTTTTCTCTGTTTTCTGTGACGTTTTCTGAGTCTATTATGTCAAATTATCTGCAATAGAATTGCTAGCTAAGGTCTGGATTTACCAACTACAGTTTTAGTTCTTCTCTAGTTCTGGGTCAGGCTCTGGTTCTGGGTCAGGCTCTGGTTCTGGGTCAGGCTCTGGCTCCAACATGTAAGGCTGGATGGACAAGTCTTCTGTTGCTGACATCTTTTAGTTAAATTTTAAATGAAACGTCTCTGCAAGCTAGAAAATGTAACCACCCCTCTTTTAAACTGGAGTGGACCGGTCTGGAAGCTGGAGGGGGGTGGAGCTTGAAGAATCTTAAAGGAACGGTGACAAAAGCAGCTGCTTTGAGACAAACACCAGAAAAGGGGTGCAACAGGAGCTGGTAAAGTTCGAATAAAAAGGAATTCAGACCAAAACATTGTAGTTCCACTTTATATAGACCCCATCTGAATGRTGGGAAAAGGAAGGAYTTAAAATCATGATATGTCCACTTTAAGGAACGTCTCAGAAAGTAATCCCTGTACATCTACAACTGATTAAMAYGTAGAGTTAACCCAATTCAAGATGGCCACCACAGCTGACTGACGTTAGCCATAAATGGCTATACCTTAGTCAATTAAAAATATATATTGAAGTAAACTTTGGTGTGGTAGTAGCTGAGAGTGTTCTTAAACACATTTGTTGATGGCAAACAGATATACATTGATCCAGTTTGCACATAACATTTTACATGGACTAAAACAGCTTTAGCAAAGTAAAGTACAAATACTTTATTACTTTACTTAAGAAGAAATTTTGGTTATCTATACTTTACATGAATTTKTATTTTTCAGTCGATTTAGAAAATGTTGTTACCCCCATTTCATTTTGGCTTATTTTTATTCCAGGTCACCTCAGAATAAATGTTATTTTGGAAATTCTAACCATTCATTTTACTAAATACTTTTACTACTTAAGTGCATTTTATATCAGAAATGATAAGTACAGTAAATGTCAAATACTTTAAGATTTTACTCAAGTGATATCTGGGGATCTTGTTCACGAATGGGGGAAGAAGGGAGCGGGAGATCGACAGGCGGATTGGCGCAGCGTCTGCTGTAAAGCAGCCGCTGTACCGGTCTGTCGTGGTGAAGAGAGAGCTGAGTCAGAAAGCGAAGCTCTCGATTTACCGGTCGATCTACGTCCCTACCCTCATCTATGGTCATGAGCTTTGGGTCATGACCGAAAGAACGAGGTCCCGGATACAAGCGGCCGAAATGGGTTTCCTCCGCAGGGTGGTGGCTGGGCTCTCCCTTAGGGATAGGGTGAGAAGCTCG